CTAAATATCGCGGTAATGCACAGTGATCATAAATACTTTGCATGATGTTACCGTGCCGCTTGAAAATAAGTGTGCATGAAATATTCAGCGGGGTCGAATACGGGGCCGAGCTATCTTGAAACATAACGTCGGGCCGGTACGTAACGTCGTTGCATTTTATCGATATCGCAATACACAACACACCGCGTCGTTGTCGTCGTCGTGCACGTTATATAGCGGCAACACACCCCTTGATTATTTTGCGTTCGGTACATAGATTGGAATCTCTGGCGTCCACCTAAATCTATTATTACCCCGCACGTCAGCACCGTTATAAAAATTACAACGTTAAAGCATGCAACAGGTTTACAGCGCGTCACGCGCGCGTTCGTCCGGTAGAATCCGGCGACGGAAGGATCCGCGCCGTAGACGCCGATACGTTTCGTCGCTTTTCAATCCGCGACGAAGAACGGGGAAAATAAGAGACGAAGAATAGGGCCCGCTTCGAATACTCGAAACTGATATTAGATTCGAAAGTGCGTCGAAAACGAGCGGAATGCTCCCTCGCTGCAACTTTCAGCCGCTCCGAAGAGAATAGCGAATTGTTCGAGGGAACGATTCTCCGAGTCGAAAACTCCCAGAGCCGCGATAAAATTCCTCGACGATTCTCCGGGCGTTTCTGCGGGCGCAAAGGATCAGCTGACAATCTTCCAGGTTCGCCAGGAAGAACCAGGTACTTCTCCTCCTCCTCTTCCCGATAACGGACTCTTCGGTCTGTTTTTCCCGCCAAAAATAGCTCCGAAATATGGAGACCACCCGCAGGACATCGCGATTAAGAGCGCCGGTCAACGAGAGAAATATCCGAGAAGCACGACGCGATAACGACGACGAGGAATACACACGCTCCAAGCGAGGGTCCTGCGGGGGTCCTGCGGGAGTCTCGGATTTTCCACTCTCGAGCCGACCTCGACGATTAGTCGGTATTGCTCTTTTTCCCGGAGGTCGCGATTCCGCGAATAATCGGCGCGAGCTTGCCGAGAGGAGGACGCCGGGGCGCGGCGCGGGCAGCCGGCGACTTCGGTGCCTGGAGACCGCACCGCTATGGACCCCGGACAGGCAGTCGGCACGGTTGGCACCTAAGCGCATAGCTAGTCGACCTGCATCCACGGATATGCAGGATTCCGGCGTCGATGGACCTCATACCACTGGAATGCGCTGAACGAGCTACAGGCTCCATACTCCTTCCCGCCCTCTCCCGCTCCGTCTCCCTTCCAGTTCATCCTACAATCAGCCGTGGGGCTCCGGCACGCGCTTCTTCTGCTTCTTCTTCTTCCTCTTCTTCATCCTCGCTCACCTCGTCGACCTTTCTTCATCTTTCCCTCTCTCTCTCTCCCCCTCCCGCCTCTCACCTGTTTTCCCCTTTTCTTCGCTCGGCCTTCTTACCGCTTACCGGTTACCACTCTGGATGTGTTAATGGCTTTGGCCGACCACTTGGGTTACCAAGCGCGAATCTCGTGTCACTCCGCACTGGGGACCCTCGGGTTCTTGACCGTTCTCGGGCCGACCGGTCGATCGGTCGATCACGAAAGGCGCGCGCGATGGGGAGCTCTTAGAGCCCGAACAAGGATGATACGTGCGTACGCGCGTTCTCGCGTCTGGCTGATTGCCGATAATCGATGCGTCACACGCGTCGTCGTTATTTTTCTCGAAGTCAGATCGGCCAGCGCTCTCTCTCTCTCTCTCTCTCAGGTGTCGTTGCGCTTTTCCGATTCCGCGAATAATTTCGATCCGACGTGGGAGATTTCAAGCCGACGGACATATCCGACCTCTTCGTTTCTCACGTCTCCGCGGCCTGATTGCATTTAACGCGCGCGCCGCACTGACGTTCCCCGCGTGCGCGCGCAAAAGATCACCGGTGGAATTTCAGCGGGGAGAGAGAGAGAGAGAGAGAGAGAGAGAGAGAGAGAGAGAGAGAGAGAGAGAGAGAGAGCAAAGCGCACCGTCCTCCCGAGTGCACGCATTTCGACGGCAAAGCACGCCGCTTTTCGAGATTACCGCGGTAAGTGGTACTCCGGTAATAAGGCGCGACGTGGACTCGACCTCATTGAGAAGCGCCGTGCATTTTCGGAAACACTCCCAGCAATTTTGAAAAACGGCACTTTCCTCCGATTCCGCGGCGCATCCGTCCGCATTCCTCGCCCCGCGCAAGACGAAGGCACGAGGTACCGCGCGCGGGGGCGTTCGCACGCGACGATCTCGCCCCGCTTCCGCGCAGCAACCGAGTCGAAACGGCGGGGAGTGACTTATCCGCGAAGAATTCCAGAAGAATCGGCCAGACGAGGAGGAGGAGTCCAGTCACGACGAGAGGGTCGGGCGGACAAACGGACGGACTCTCCCGCATATTCTGTATAATTACGTATCGCCGTCGGTCCATAAATAGCGATGCGACGAACGGATCGAGAGACAGGCCGCGGCTTTATTGCCCCTCGATCGCGTTCGATCGCTAGTCGGTCGCGCGCTATATCGTCGTGGACAAATAGAATTACGGCGCCTCAAGGACCGCGCAACGATTGATGACGCACCGTTCTCTCTCTCTCTCTCTCTCTCTTCTTCTCTCATAATGAGTTGATAAAATGCGCGCTTCGCGACATAGTAGCACGAGCCCGCGGTTTTATCAATTCAAGACACACGCGCGTCTCGTTGATAATTCGCTCCTTGAGAAAACGGAAATCGCGGAAATCTTGTGCGACTTTCCTCGTCGCACGGGCCGCCTCGATCTCGCAATCGGCGAGACGCGCGGATCGATCGTGTGACCCAATGCGAAAGATAAAATCGGCCGAATGACTCAAATTGCGCCAGTGCACAGAGAAAAAGAGTTCTCTGGATTCGATACACGTGTTTGCTTGCTTTATTCCAGAGGTCAAATTTGTTTCAATTAAAGGGATTTTATTAACCCGTTACGCTCGAGGTCTTTTTCGCTCGAGCGAACTCGAGAGGAGTTTAGCTGCTCCCGCTTATTTCATGAGGGCTAGGAGTAGACTCGTGAAGCGATATTCGTTAGGCCAAATCTAAATAAACACCGTTATCGCTCTATTTGCCGCCTCGATCCGAGTGGTGCCTGAGAGGCACCTCTCGAGCGCAAAGGGTTAAATCCAAAGAAATCTTCGTCACCGTGTGGAATTTCTTCGAGATAATCAGTCAATAAAGCTCTCACGATGTACAATCGTAAAAAAAAAAGAATTGTTGAGGAAATTGTGAAGAAACTCGAAAAAAGGGGAAAAATAATAAAAAACAATAGCAAATAAAAGCAAAACATTCTAGTCTTGTAGCGAAGGAAAAGATATGAATTTTCCGTCCTTAGTTTTTTCGTTATTCTTTTTTTTACACTTAAATAAAGTGTCATCGTTCAAGTAATATTTATTTGATCCAAGTAAAATGGTTATTCCTTAGCTAATGCTTACTAGAAATAAAAAAAATAGAATTAACTATGTATTATACAAATAAATAGATATAATTCTTATATTATAATATTACGATTATTTCCTATCGTATGAATAAACATTTACTTGTATGTGTTCAAATAATTGTGACAAGTATTACATTCATAATATTGAAAATGTCAGAATTTATTCTTAGAAAATTACTAGAGAAAAAGACCTAAATTTGAAACCACTAGGTTTCCTCAGTGGAAAAATAATATTACATAATTTTAGTAAATATTCTCTTAAAGTTATGGAATCAATTGTACATTTGTATTCAGTAATTCAATTATAAATCAAAGCATTATTGCGTTCAGGCATAATTACTACAAGCTACTATTAAAATACACTTAAATTGACAAAAATATTATTTAATTTAAAACGAAAAACAAGTAATCACGTTTAATTCCAGCACATTTGTTTTCCCGTGTGATTTTTTCGAGATATCGCACGAGCTTAACTGGCCGCGACATTTTCGCCACGAAGGTACCTTTCCGTTACATCCCGATTACGCGAGCGTCTCTCTCCCACGCACTTAATCACGCCGCGATTGAATGCGCTTTTGGATTTTATGCAACGCGCCGATGACACGTCGTTCCGATGAGAAACCGAGGGCGAGATATCGGCGACGATGCGGTAACAGTCTCCTCGCGCGATGCGGCTTGTACGCAACGGCCGGCTCTTTTCGTATAAGGCAACAGGCCCCGCGGTCCTCCCACGTTCGTCGGTCCGTCTCTCGCAGTGGGACGATTCGCCGGCAATTCAGCCGTCATCGTCCTCCTGAACTATTTCGTTCCTCTCGACGGCGCGTAGGCGCACCACCCGTCGCCGACATCCCGCCGCGGCTCGCGACGACGGTCCCACCGCCCGCCTATCTATCGCGCATTTCCGAGACCCGTTGCGTTATCGTTGACGTCATGCGTGACGTCATAATCGTCCAATCAGCTGTTACGATCGAGCGCAGATCGAAGAGGAGGAGGCGGCTCCGGCGCGTTCCCGCGGATCCGTGTGTGCGTTTTCCTCTTCGTCTCTCTTTTTCCTTTTTTACACGCACGATCGCTCAATTAAGCCTCCCGACGTTGTTTATTCGCTCGCACGTTATTATTGCTCGCCGGCGGAAAACAGTTTCTTGCGAGAACGCTCGTGCATATCGGAATCGTCCTCGTTGCTCCCCCCTCCCCTTCTTTCCTAGTTTTTTTATGTTTGGAAAGAAAACCTTTAACCTTCACACGACGATATATTATTTATAGCCGATAATCGCCAATTAAAGCCACAAGAGTTTTAGAAAAAACGTCCGGATCGAATTCCAACACGAGGCGAGGAGAGAAGGAGAGCGTTGCGCGGATCACGTTGCAAAAAGATCGCGAGAGCGCCGAGATGCGTAATGCTTTATTATTCATCGATACGCTCGCGTATTTCTATATATGCACGTTGCGCATTCTCGTGCTCGGCAACGGACGAACGGCTCGACTTAAAATCGCGCGACCGAGCTCGCGGTCGCAACGCGTCGAACTGGAAACAGACGCCGGTGTGTTTCCTTACCTCGTTGATGTGCTTGTACGTCTTGATGAGGTCGACGCTGAGTTTCCTGAGAGGCGCCGTCGCTGGATCGCGAAACCTGTGGGGTATCCTGGCCTGCATGGCGTGAATGTCCGAGGGGGTCTCCTGCGAAACCCCGCCGGCCGCCCCGCCGCCGGTGGCACTACCCCCGCCGCATACCGCGGGGGGCATGGGTTCCTCGGCCACCAAACGTCCGTAAAGGGGCGCACCGCCGGTCCCCGGCCTCCCGCTCACTGAAACCATCACAGAGAGACAGCGGATCAATGCATGTGAGCAAAGAGAGAGAGAGAGAAAATGGCACTTCGATGACACGCGATAGTCCCTCGTGCCCGCGACTACTCGGCGAAGATCGTGCACATTGTCGCGTCGCTTTTCTAACTCTGCCTAATTAGATCCTATTCGTCGTTCTCTTACGCACGACCCTTGACCGTGCTGCGCCGCAGGGGAAGGGTTATCAGGGGACGCGCTGAACATCAAGGTCCATCGCAAATGTAATGTGATCCAGATGTAAATCGCCTCTCTCTCTCTCTCTCTCTTTCTATCTATCGCGAGCGAGAGAGGACATATAAGTATGATGTTATATATAATTACACGCTCCTCCTTCAATATTGATTTTTCAAATCTGCACGTAATTACAAAGCGAGAATTTAATGGTTCGCCCCGTGCGCGCCCCGTGCGAGAAATCAATGCGTGGACCCCGCAAGTTTAGTCAATGATCAATATTTGTGTTTACTACTCGATGTGTTGACGTTTATCTGTTAAGTTTATCATTAGGTAATTAAATTCGCGTATTAATTAGGGAACGTCGGGCGATCGGGTCGATTCGTTTTGATCGGCGGCCGAGATTTAAGATTCGTCGTTAATACGACTTTCGCGGAGATTCGAGCAGCAACGAACGATCTTCCTCGATCGAAACGATATGTCTTTCTCGTTGAACACGGACGTTTACTGTCCAAACATTTCGCTGGTCTTTTTATCGGCGTAAAAGAGAGAGAGAAAGAGAGAGCCGCGATGTAATTAGCATTAGAAAAATTTCGCGACCGCGAATGAATACGCGATTAAAAGCGCTGCGACGGAATCGGTTTTGTCGAAATTACTGTCGAGTAATCCGATAATAATGCCGGAGATGCATTAAATGCTAACACGCGCGTTTAACTCCTTCGTGTGCGTAATGCGAGCGCGCGCACGTGAGAGATAGATAAAAGCTTTTATTAATCATTCTAGGTCAAGCCCTCCAAAAACATTAGAAGATCAGCTTGTAAATTGACAGAATTGAAAGAAAATTGATTATTAACTGTTGGAAGAAAACTGATTATTAACAGTGCTATTAGTAATAAAAAGAGAAAAAGAAATGTATAAATTGTAATAATTCTGATAGTTCTGTAATAGGAGAGTGCGTAATAGATACACATTTTATTAATAGAAAGATGATTTATAAATGCACATTTGTGTGGAAAACCCACTAACTCTCCGTTACTCGCAAGTTTATCCAATAGATATGTTCAGGCTATGACGTATCGTCGTCACTATACATCAAGGTCAAGGTCGTCTTTGTCAATGTTTTTCTTTGTTCTCTTTATTTTTCATTGTTTTTCTATCTACTTTAGTACCAAGTCTATAAACCAAGTCTATAAACCAAGTACTAATGAAAGAAAAATTGTTTCAAGAAGCAGAGGAAAATAATGGGAAACTTAGTGTATCTATGAGATATATTGCAACTATTCATGTATGAAAAATATTGCGATTAAAATATTGCGAGGGTTAAATAGTTGAAGAATCTGGATTTAAATTGCCAGATCAAATCGGAATTTTTAATCTCAGTAGGAAGTCAATCCCAAAAGGCGATAACTGAAGTCAGGAAAGAGTTCTGAAAAATGAGTGAGTAAGTGATATTGGATATACATTTTAACGGCGTCTTCGAGACGCGTTCTCCCCGTTTCTACCGCGCGAAACTGACAATATGGCATCGCGTTCGATTTTCACATCGCAGAAGAGAGGAGGAGAGAGAGAGAGAGAGAGAGAGAGAGAGAGAGAGAGTCTCAATTGGCACTGTTTCGCGAGGTTCGTGTGTACGCCCTTGCGCGAGTAATAGGGGAGGATTGCAACGATCAAAGGAGGGTTGCGATGATTGCTACGTATATGCGGAAAAGGGCAGACGGTGATTGCGGCGACTCCTTCCGTGAAAAGTGGCAGTCCGACGAATCGACGACGGGAAATTGCGATACGTTCGAGGAAGCATGCGTGTTAAAACTCGCGTTGATTGTTTCTATAACGATTCCCGCGGAGACGTTATAGTTCGCGCGGGATAATTCACCGCGTATAGCTCCCTCGTCGCTTTTCCTCGTAATGTGAAGGTGAAGCGGCAACGCAGTTTTCACGTTAACCGATTTGTTCCCGGAAATGTCGCTCGCGAAAGCACCTATTGCTGCCCACATCAAAGAGACTCGATTCTTAGCCGCGTCTCTGAGAAAAGACCTATAAGCGGTTAGATCGGACTTTCATTGCACCCCCGTCGTAATTATTCTACTGCCGATTGATGATCCGCGAAAATGACTCGGATGGGAAAGCCCGCGAGAATGAACGATACACGCGATGAAGTGCACAGTTACTTGAGAAAACGATTTCCAAATACCTAATTGCGAATAACCTCGAGCGAGCCCGCGCTGCTCGAGTATATTTTCATCGGCCGTTGAAGAGCGAGAGCTCTTTAAGGCACTCTCGGCCACCTCTTCACCACCTTCGCGAGGACGGAGGCTCCGACGGGGGTGAGAACAAAAGCGCGGAGGCGCCGATAATTAACAATTTCGTTCGCGGGACAGACCCTGCTTCCTCGAGACGGGTGGCACGTGGTTTTTCGACTCTATTCACGAGTCGGCGGCGACTCACGTACGAGACCGAAATCTCTGACGGAAGTTGTATGAAGAGCGAGAGAGAGAGAGAGAGAGAGCGCTTGTATGTGTGTCTGTATGTGCGGAAGTGTCGATAATTAACAACTCCCTTGGAGGGATGGAGCGTGCTCGGCGTGACAGAGAATCGTGATGCGGGACGGAGGTGGTCGTTAATTTTGACATACGATTTTCTCTCTCCCTCTCTCTCTCTCTCTCCCTCCGTCTCTCTTCGTCTATGCCGCTTCGGCACTCGCTGAAACATTACTGTCATTTTAACGACCCTATTAGATGGTGCAAATCAGCTTAACGGCGACCGCTTGATACTACGCGAAACGGCTCCCTTCCCCCTCCCCTCTTCTTCCTTCTTGGACCACCGCGTTCTCGTTCTCCGGCCCTTTTAGCGCGATTACCACGCGATCAGTACCGAATCCCCTCGCTTTTGGCCTCGGATTCGTCCACCTCCGGATTTGTCATTCGAATGAAAATTTTCGACGTCGCGTAAAACACGGAACAATCGGCGACAAGACTCACGGAGAGCGATCGGTGGCCGCATCGATGGGTGGGATCGCGACGATTCGTTTACAGCGCAGCTCGGTTCATTAAGTAAGAGCAATTGCGCACCGTTAGAGCCGCATCGCGGTTCATTTGTCGTATTTAGTTAATGAGATGACGTGGGAAGAGTGCATGACTGGCTCCTCGCACAAATGAATGCGTGATGGATCGAGTATGTGACCGAGACAACGAATGAATGGGCAAGTGTGTACATACGTACGTACGAACGAACGAACAAACGAACGAACAAACGAATGAATGGATAAGCAACGGTGAGAATGAGCGTAGCTTATTATTGCTCTCTGCTCGCGATACGTTACTGAATATTTTCACACGAGTTTATCCGTATCTAAGCAAACGGCCGGGACAGAGATACGCACGTGGGCAGAACAAAGAGCAAGACGCCGACCGAAGAAGAGAGAAAGAGCGAAAGGGGGAACGAGAGACACGGAAACGAGACGTACAACAGGGGTAACGAGAAAATCACGACTAGGTCGGGTCAAATTTGCGGCCTGTCTATCCCCTTTGACCCATTCCCTCTCTCCAGAGAGCGTCCCTCGCTTCGGCCCCCTTTCTCCCACCTCCCCCCTCTCGCCCGCCCCCTCCGGTCCCGTACTCATCCCACCCTCCCGTTTTTTACGAGCCACTGCGTATCGGAAAGCGGAGCTGCTACTCCCGACTCGCCGTAGCTCCGTTTGAAATGTAGGCCAGGGCGCGGTTGAATGAAAAAAATATCATTCATTAACACGAGCGCGGGCCAGCGGTTCTCCACGTCGGCACACTCGTCGAGCGAGCGCGGAATTGCGTGCACATGCATCGGCGGCGGAGGCGACCGCCGCCGCCGCACGGACGATGTTTGTGTGCCGGTGATGGTTGGCGGCGATGGAGGTGGTGGAGGCGGTGAGGGCGACCCAGTGACGCATCGCAGCGAGACGCCTCATTTGCGTGTCTGCGCGGCGCGGCCAAGAGCCCGCCCGAGCCGGCCGGGAATCGATTGACTGCGCTCGGGGGTATTTGCGCGGTTCTCTCTCTTGCATATACAAGAAGCGGTTGCATAGTCGGCGGAAAGCTTTGAGACTGTATGCATGCACAAAACGATATCAAATTCGAAATAAGGAGCACCGCTCGGCGTACGCGGAGAAAGCTGTTGCTTTTAAAAGGAGCTATGCACCGCCGGCGTGAGGCGGAGAGTATCGCGTATTGTCGCCGACGTACGTGTCAAGAAGGAGAGGGAAAGAGAGAGAGAGAGAGTCCAAATAGGTACGAGAAATAATCTCAGCGTGCGCACCGTCCTCTCGCGTAATCGCCAGCTGGCGATTATTAAGTCCGAGAATCAGCGTAGCGAGTACTGTTGTGAGCGAGCGAGCCGGGAAATGCGCATCTCCGGCGCGTGAAAGGGAGGAGGAGGAGAGTATCATCGATGAAGATTCCCCGTTCCAAAAATATATCCCGGCTCGATCGTGAAAAATTCAGGCGCATATCGATACAGAGGAAACGATGGGCGAGAGGGGCGAGGGGGGTCGCGGGGAAGAGGGGGATGGAGGGGGGACAGAGGATTATCCTGTCGGTCGATATAGGCGCGCCGCTGGAAACTGGAGCGTTTTACGCGAGTAGCACGCGCGCACCTTGCGCGCACACGGATTCATTTTTCCCTTCTTTTTGCGCCCGGTTTCCCCCTTTTTCCCCCGTCCTTTCCTTTTTGTGTCACGAAGAACCGAGCATTTTCGGTACAGATGCTCAAAATGGAGGAGTCGGTGCGCGCGCGGTATCGCCGTGTGCGTATCGGGGAAGAA